CAGCTTGCTCTTGGGGACTCTGCAGATGCAGTTGGTTCCAAAGTTGGTGTCTCGTGTTTGGATGCAACGCAGGCAGCACAGATTCTCGTAGCCCTGCTTCTTCCACTTGGCAATGAGGTTCTTGTCTGCGTAGCCTTCCTTTATACAGTACTCGTATAGCTCTGCAAGGACGAAACACAGTAAAGGTTTGATATCTTGTACATTCCAGTACAGGAAATGTTAAGATAAGATACCTTTACCATCTCCCATAGAAGAAACTCGTCCTGGATCAGGCAACTGTTGCATCAATAATTAGACATCAACACAAATCAAGACAAAAACCCTAAACAGGCATACACACTTTAGAATGAATAACAATTCATAATTAATAATTATCATTTGAAATATTCACCTCAAAAACCACTTCTCTGTCATGTTCATTAATCGGTTTAACTAACAGAATAACAAATGAGTATAGTGGTTTGTCTTACATGAGGGAATCCTGTACCTCCTACCAGAGTTTGTCAATGTACAAATTACCTCGGGGAGAGAGGATTATTGTTTCAGTGTTTTTTTCCCCCCTAGCGTTTTAATGTTATTTTTAAAAAAAAAATTAGCTTTAGCCTTTACTGCATTTCAAAACAAGCTGCTGATACCATGACATAAGAGTTTCTTCCCAGCCACCAATGCCACGAGTCTCCGGACCAAATGAAGACACTGATGGCTTTTCATAGATGCATTTTCCACATGTATAGTCCGAGTAAGTGCACTATGAATGCGTATACCTAGACCAGGGGTCTCAAACTCACAACCCAGGGGCCACTTTCAGCCTGTATATTGATGTGAAGAAATATAATGCAATTTGGCCCTTAAAGTTCCTTTTTGGTTAGGGAGGATTTGTTGTTTGTTGTTGAGTGCAATGTTAAAACAAGTTCTTTAAAAAGCAAAAAATTATTTAATACGAAGGCAAAATGAGCAGAGTACAAACATGTTGAGGGATTGGCTGTGAGTGTTTTAGTGAGAGAGTTATTTGTAAAGAAAACTATTTTCACTAGCACTCAAAAACTATTGTGTACACTTATGTCTATATTTTATTGTGTTAAATACAAACAAAATATTAGCAGAAGTGCTGTCACATGTCTGGCCAGAAAGAAAGTACCAATTTGTTTATTTGGTAGTTCAATAAAAGGCTTCATTTGGAAGTTAGAAAAAAATTGTGTTTACTTGTGCAGTTTTGTTTTGTTATACAATATCTGAAATTTAAAAA